AAAAAATGTTAGTGTAGCCCTGAATTTGCAATATATTGGTGGTAAGAGGGCAGCAATATAGTACTGAAAAGTATTTCAAGGCTTTTTGCTAAGTCCCTAAAAATGGAATGAGGCCACGAAATAGATCATTATATGAAAGCTCTTCCATTAAGAAAAATAGAGTCAGCATCGTATGTCCTGGGGAACCTCACTGTTTCTTCACGTCACAGAGGATTTTAGAATCTACTAAAGATGGCGATTAATAGAGAATTTTGTCACGGTTTAAGCTTTTTAAACTTTTAGTTCCACTATCACACTATTATTCACTTAAAAAATTATTCATTTTAATGGAGGGACCGAGGATTAAACCCAGGACCTCGTGCATGCTGAGCATGTGCTTAGCCACTGAGCTGCACCCTCCTCATTCTCTAGGAATGTGAATCAGAGCCTGGGAGGAAATGAAGGCACACCTGGGAGACCGCAGGAGTAAGCCATGGAAACCAAACCCACTATTTCCTACCAAAGAACGCGTCGGAAAGTGGGGCTGCCTGAATCCAGGGAAAGCACGCCTGGTGTCCGCAAGGAGCGCCAGCAGGGACGTGCGCTCCCCCCGGGCCACGACCCAAGGGGAGCGGGCCACGGCTTCGCAGGTGCCTGCCCCACTGCTGTCCTGAGAACAGGACGCAGCCCCCGCCCCAGCGCGTCCCTAAGACAGCTTCTCCAGAGGGTCCCCCGTGGGGGCCTCCTGAAAGCGAGCTCAGGGGACCGTCCAGCATGTCTGCCATCCGGATCCTAGAGCCGAGCAGCGGGCCAGCGGCGCTCCTACTTACGGGGGCCCCGGGGAAGCCGTCCGGGCCCACGGGTCCCGCGTAGCCTGCGTCACCCACGGTCCCGTTGCAGCCGTCGTAGCCGGGTCGTCCTCTGGGCCCGCCTTGCCCCGGGTGCCCCTGGACACAGGAAAGGGAGTCAGCCTGCAGCCCTCAGGTGCTTAGTTTGCACGAAGCTGATGGAACAGTTTCTAGTCGTCTCATGAGAGACACCCCTGGTGTGAGCCCAAGGGCAGAGACCACTTAAAATGAACCAGTGAATGAACGAAAAACTGAGTACCCAAAGGCACACGAGTGTTGTGCTAAGCCAGGGAGGGGCTTTGGGACCAAGTTCTGTTTCCCCCAGGGTGTGGTAAACCCGTCTCGGGGTTTCTCCTGCCTGGCCTCGCCGGGCAGTGGGGAGGGCTGTTTCAGCTGGAGCAGGAGAGTGTAGATTTAAAAATTCTAGAAAAACGTTCTGGAAGCCACTGCTGCTGCTGTGGACAACAAGGTTAGCTGTGCCCAACCGAACTCCGGATGAAGAAGGAGAAATCTGGGTCCAAATGCGCGTGCCACCCGCAGGGGGACTTCCTTCGCGCCGTGGCAGGAGGGCTGCTTTCCTCGTTTGCCTTTTTGGGGACATGACCTTTCAGCTTTTAGACATGAACAGACGGCAAGTCAGGTGCTCTGAGGCGGGAGGTGGGGGAGGGAAGGCCACATGATCACGTGCCTTTGGAATTACTGAGGGCCAGGCTAAGTCGGGGCCCCTCGACCGCATCCGTCTGGTTCTGGAGACGTGGAGGCTTGGGTTAATAATCTGCAGTTTATGCACTGCAAGACCACAGCCGGTTTGCTGTTTCTCTACACAATAAATGTTTAGATATAAGCTTTCTTGTGTGCAATTCCTTTAAAGCTTTGGTTTTCTTGATCATAGACCAAATCCACATCCCAGAGTGATCTCTGAGGCCAGCAGCCTGTCTTTTGGATGTACCATGAGAAATCCGGAAAGTTGCAAGGTAGACAAACAAGCCCCCCACGTCGTGGCTGTACCTGGAATGATACTAAGAAATACGGGAAGAATAGGAGACTCTTTCTTTCGTTTGCACATCTCTTTGCTCCAGATGTTCAGAGGCATTGCCTGAACTGGTGCCACCGGGTAAGAGATACAACAGGACTTCCAGCTGACCCTCTGGTGGACCAGAGAGGCTCTGACCGTCTCAGGACTGTCATAGAGCACAGGTTCCCTGGCTGTTAGAGGGCCAGCTGCTTTTTGGGCTTCGAAGTAAAGTCATCCTTTTCAGGGGCCTCTAAAAGCTGACCTTCGGATTCAGCCACAGGAATCGAGGCCTGCGGGCGTTCTGCTCAGGAGCCTCGGGATTCGTGGTGCTTCCCTCAGAACCCGCCGCCGAGCTCCTTCGCCTTCTCCGGAATTACCGTCTGC